GGAATTATTTCGTTACTTTTTAGTGTACTGTTTTTTTGAGAATATTTTGTTTTGTTTTTAGTGCATTTTGTTTTGTTTTTCGTGTATTTTTGTGGCAATAAATACATATTCATCCATTAAAAAAATATGAAGAAAAGCAGAACCCGCAGTTATTAGTCGACTTCAGGAACTTGACCGTTTCAAATTTTAATTACAAGACAAGACAATTAGTGCACCCATAAAATGTGAGCGCTGTGAGACTCGACAATAGTTGTGAGGCTAGGACAAGATGACGTCGTCGACCACAAGATGGCGGCTGGTGGCGGTGTACGTGCTGTGTGTAGCGCTGCGCCCGCCTGCCGCCAGCGCCTCGCAGCAGATCATGAAGCAGCTCACCGCAGGGTTCATTAAAGCCATGGAAGTCTGCAGAAATGAGGTGACTTTTCAATATTAATAATCTCAATTCACTTAGACACCAGTCTCTTATACCGCAAATATTTTGTGTCGCAGTTAAACCTGGGAGACCACATAATGCAAGACTTCATGAACTTCTGGCGCGAGGAGTACGAGCTGGTGAACCGCGATCTAGGTTGCGCCATCAGCTGCATCGCCGCCAAGCTGGATCTGCTCACTGAGGACCTCAGGATGCACCACGACAACGCGAGGGAGTTCGCTATTAAACATGGAGCTGGTAAATCAATTTTTATAACTTACTCATAATTTTGATGTACATTATTCAATTACACAATTCACAGTAGAAATTAGTATAAGCTTCCATGACCGTTAGTTCGGCATTGAGGTAATTTCAAACAACCAGACAGCTGTTTGCATTATGCAGATTGTCGCGCATTCGAACCAGTTTGTGGATTCGCCTAAATGTTGCGCGCCGGGGGATGTTTGTGAAGGGAAAAGGGTTGCCGAGATACGAGATAGGACACGGACCGACGTCGGTCCTTGTTGGCCTTCATGTTTTTGTTATTTCACTTTTATCAGTTCGGATCAGTCCGGTTTACTAAAAGTACTTTTGCAAATAAGAGGACGGAGGAAAAGGGTCTTGTGATCGGGGTCATATAAATTTATGACATTTTATGTCGAAAGGAAAGCTGATATTTTAATTTACGTTTTTATATTAGATGAGGATATAGCGAAGCAGTTGGTTTCAATGATCCACGAGTGCGAGCGCAACAACGAGGGTGACAGCGACGACTGCCAGCGTGTACTGGAGATCAGCAAATGCTTCCGCACCAAGATACATGAACTCAAATGGGCGCCTTCTATGGAGGTGCTGCTAGAGGAGATCATGACAGAAGTCTAGGAGGACAACAAGACATTTGAAGTTTGAACAACACATAGAATATTCCTGGATAGTTGAAACATCAGAGCTTACCCTGCCGTACCATGGATTCCGATTAATTTAAATGTTACAATTCTCCCTCCAACCTCGTCAGCTAGTTCCTAGTCTATATTTATTGTGCTTTTTACTTTAATTAAAATAAAATGTAGGTGTTAAATAGTTTGAAACGGTTGTATAATAAATGTGTGATGGCATTTCCTTCTTTTTTTTAAAAAAAATTAAGCATTTTTTAGAAAAATCGCGCAATTTAATCCTATCTTATCTCATTTCTTCCCAATCTCAATACCTCCGAGCATGCTGCAGCTTATATCAGCTCCGTGCAGATCTAATTACAGCGGATTGCGACTGTAATTAAGCAATTAATCAAGCGTTAGTCGCGGCTAATTGGCGCTCAGAGACGGAGCAATGCTCATCGTGACTGACGACAGAGCACAAACACTAATATATGGCATTATAGATAATCGCTGACATGCGCTTTGATGTCAGCACTTACGATCAACAATAACTTGCTGATAATCTTCATGATACTCACTTACTAGTTATCATTAAAAAAAAGTTGCATCTCTCTACTAGAAAAGCTGAAATTATTATCCAAGGTATTATGTAACCAGCATGTAATAAAGGGAAAGTTGTAGGAAGCACCTGTTTGTATGTATCCCTGTGTATCTGAGAAGACACGTCGTAACTCGGCGATGTGTATTCGAGGCACGCGTGTCGCGGGGGTGCAGGGTGCGAGGGGCGAGGGGGACATGGACAAGACAGGGGTAAACAATAAAATGGTTCGCAGCAGCTGCGCGGGTGGGATACCTCACGATTGCCTTCGCTATTACAAAGACTTTCCAGACATTAAATTAAATTATCGTGTGACGTATCTGAATTTATTTTAATTGAAAAGGAATACGTAACGTGACATCATTGTAATACTGTGTAGATTGACGAGTCAAAGCCTACAGTTAGTACAATACATAATATTTAAAATATTTAATAATCTTTTTCTTATAATCCCAACGAGTACTATGACTAAAACAGGTAGGCTGTCCTCAGTAAAAGCAATCAAAAGCCGACTAGCCGGCAATAGCTAAGTAATGTTAGGTAACTGTTCCGTTGAGGCCGGCAGTAAATCTTCGAGAACAATCGCCGGCTGTCTTGCGCGGACTGCGCGCTGCGAACTGCGGGCTATCAGGACATCAAACTTCAATTAGCTCCGAGTAGCGGCGTGAGCCTGTGCTATGAGTGTCTCGCGCCGCTCTGTACAGCGAATACTCGCAAAGTGGGACCATAGTGCTGTACTTTAAACTCACGAAGGTTTACTATTGTTACTTGGAGTAATTATAATTAAAACAGATTTGTTTGAGGTCATCAGACCTTAATAATTTGTTCATCACTCACGTCAGTTTTATTAATACATGTAAAGTTAAGCCAGCTTTGCGAAATGAGCACAGCCCGAGTTCTTAAATGACACAGTGCTCGTGGTTTTAGATGTGTGGTATTTTAATTCCTTACATTATACAGGATTATTCTCCTTTAATATGAGAAAAACATGTGACTTAATAGCGATTTATTAATTAGCCATTTAATGCATTTTCAACGGGTCCTCTGTAGAACTCCGGCGTCCAGTTGAGGTGGTATATGTTTGAGCGGAAGCAGATCATGGTGGTAAGTCCCGCGACGCACGCCTTTCGCTGCGAGCTGGACTCGCGCTGGCACGTCCTGAACACTTCCAGTAGAATCAGCGCGCGATGTTCATCTACATCACCGGCATGCCCACCAACAAGACAAAGCTAATAAGTGACCTAGATAACATCAATGCAGAAGATCGTATTTATATTTTACGTTGAATGAAAATGCGTGATTGTACATTGTTTTAAAACGGAGGAGATACCGTTAACCTACGTAACAATTTTTTCTAATTAACCCGGGACAAATGACTATTCTATGCTACATAAATACCGGCTCCATTATCGCGGAGGAAATTGTTGACGTTGGTGTCGTTGAGGGAGCCGTCGCGGTTGCGCAGCTGCAGCTTGAACATGCTGCAAGCGGCCAGGCAGCCCAAGTAGATGTGGCCCGTGACGTTCAAATCGTGATTCCAGAAGTCCAACACGTCTTTGAAGTATCCCGTGTTCGGGTACAGCTGCAACCACAGCCCATCTCTCAATATTCAAGAACAGTAACAAAAGAGAGGGAGAGAGTACAACAGTGTACACCGTACCAACTGGACGCAATACAGCATCGTGGAGCCAAACTTCTTGCTGATCTCATTGATGATAGAAGCCGGTTCATCCTCCGCCACGGCCGTCGCCAGCAGCAGCAGCAGCGCCTTAAGCACCACTAAACTCATTGTTATCCTGAAGCTAATTGTTCGTCCTCGCAGCGCAGATATGACCGCAGTTAGCACGACGAATGCATTGATTGCTTTCGTACCGGACACTATTTGTTTGCGACGCGCTGAGACGATTGCAATAATGAAGTCTTATCTTTATTGTCTTTCAAAGTACTTTTTTTAGTTAGATCGTAGTGTAATTTTTAAACTGTAAGTATTTATGAACAAGAATGTATTATACATTTGTCGTTAAGTTAGCAAATCAGTATGTACTACGTTGTACGCATTGGTAATCTGATTTTAATTGATAATATATGACTTTTTACGAAATAAAGGGGAGTCTTAAAGAATTAAATATATATTATAGAAGCGTTTTAGGGGACAAGAGGCAGGGAGTGAAAAACAAAGTTATAGACTTCACAGATGTAGACAGGGTACAGATTACCAAGTAAAGAGAAGTAAACTGGGCGCCGAGGGCTGAATCATAAGATGACTATAGGTTACAGGCATATATTTGATGAAACACAAGTGATGATGAATTGAGGTGTCAGTAGCTGCCAGGCGCCCAGCCAAGCTGCTCGATGGTAGCTCGGTAGCAGCGGAGCGCGGCCAGGCCGGCGCTGCACGTGCGCTGCATGAACCCGCTACTCTGATGGCACGACATGAACATCTTCTCCAGCCGCCAGCTCGTCGTCGGATCTACACACACTTTGCTATTGGGTACGTCAGACTATCAACCGAACCTCAACCTAATAAAGACTACGGTTTATTAAGAGGAGCATGTAATTAAACATTTGCGTACTTCACGTTGCAGTGTTCGAGGTATCACAACAAGTGATCACTTTTCTTTAAAACCACATTGAAGATAATCACGTGTGTCAAGTTGAGAAAAACAACGAACCAGCGTTGTTAGAGGCGATGAAGCGGCGCACGTTGGCGACGTTAATGCGACCGTCTCTGTAGATCAGTCTGAGCGCTCGCATCGCGCACACTGCCAGGCAGCCTTGCCGCACATTCTGCACCTTATACTCCGGGTCCCAGAAGTTGTCCATGTCCGGATCCACATAATAATTTGGAAACATCTGGAAAATATTAAGGAAGTGTGTTCCAGTCTGCATGGATTTGTTTTTCTTTGAAAATTTTCTCTTCACTTAGAATCACGGTTTCACTTTGCTTAATTAACATTGTTTCCCACGTCGTTGTCGTAATGCTTTGTGTACTAGTATATGTATCTATAAAAGGTAATTTCTTAGCGTTCTCTTAGTTATTTGCAACAATTTGCACACAAACTCTTTGTGATGGAATAATTAAGAAAATATATATTGTAACAACCCATACCTTTCTACTGCACCGTACCATGATATCGCCCATTTTGGAACTGATGTCGTTGACAACTGTCCGGGATGATTCGTAGGCGGCAAGAGGTGGGATCAGAACGGCCAATGCGGCCAGTAAAGTGACCAACAAATTGGCCAACACCATGTCTGTCGAGCTTGCATCGAGCTAATGACGGGGTTCAGTTCAAAGCAGACACTCACTTTGTATCAATTTGTTTTGTAAACAACATTCGTTTGTTTCCGAGTGTACTAATTGCGATGCAACAAGAACAAATTGTGAACGCGACTGTACTGTACCACTTATTTAGTGCCTACTTGTTCAGACAAATGGCAGCATGGGTCGTTTTGGTAATTTATATAAAAGCTTAAGTAAACTTATAATAAAATACTTTTGCGTCAATTTAAACTTTGTATTGAGTGCGTGAATGTAAATTGAACGAATAGTATGACTTTTTTGCGCAAGACAACATCTAAAATGTAAAAGCGAAGTATAAGTACGCGTGTAAATTGAACCGAACACGTTCATTATTGTATTAGTGGTAAAATTAACTTAATGCATTTTTAAGCCGGCTAATGCAGCCGAGAGATGGCGCCGCTGCTGCAAGCCATTACAGCAATATTTACTAATAATAGTGTTGTGTTTTTTGCACTTTACCAACATTGAAGTCGAAAGACTCATGTATTAAAGTTGTAGATTTTATTTGTACATTTGTTTGAACATTTAAAATTGCAAATAACTGCCACAACCAATTAAAATAAATTATAAATGCTATCTTTCCATTAATTCAAACATCGCTTTATGTTGCAGCGATCTCTCAGTGTCCGGGGAGCGCGCCGGCTCGCTAAATTAAGATAAAATTAAGATAAAATGCGAGATTATCGCAAACACGTAACGCTAAAGTACTAAAACTACATCTGCACGTTGTTAAGTTATTACAAAAATGTTATGTTTAATTTAAAACAGCTAACATTACGTGACACTTCGTTATATTGTTCGCTTACAATGAATTCGAGCTCCGAGTCCCAGTTTAGTTCTGATTTAAAAGAATTGTAAATTTGTACAGCGAACAGACTGGCGTCCTTTTTCGTCGAGATATGAGACGAGTGGTAGGTATTTGATTGCGGACTTGTTAAATGTAATAATAAATTGTAGTGATTGAGTCACACTGGCAACAAGATGTGGTTGTTTTATAATATCGATGTAACTTAATACGAGTGCAGTGTTACGTGTTGTAAAACGAACATACAGGATTGTAACTTGAGACGTACTTCATTTTTATTATTTAACGCCATCTCATAAATTGCGGCTTTTAAAATACGTTAACACAAATATTTGATTACAACTCTATGTTATGTGCCAAATAGAATAAAACTTTTCACATTTCCATGTGATTTCGTACTGTAAAAGCATTTTAGGTTATATTTTCTATAGCCAAGGTGCAATACTTTATTTATATAGCAACTACTTACTATTTTGAATTGCAAATACACACGAAACATTCATTACATTTATTTTTATGACGTGTCTAGAATCTGCATGGTTATTTTGCACTCTATAAACAAGCGGTTAAAGTTTCGTTTCCATTGTTTTATACCAAAAGTTACACAAACTAATGGTTGTTGGGTTACCAAATTAGAAGTGCGGGTGAATAAGTTACAGGGTTGCCACCTTGCTTTGCCTTGGCTCAAATTTTCCGGATCTGTATGGTTTTCGTTACCAGCCAAGAAGTATAATGTCACCGGTAATAGTTTTTTTGCAAGCAAGGTTTGTTTATTGAAAGTTGACAGCCCTGACAAAAACGTTATAGAAGGTGGAGTGCGAAAGTAACAGCAAATACAAGTTGGCACGTTGCTGCAGCGCAGCGCTGACAGCCTGATGGATGAAGTTGACGCACCTACGAGGAAATCATTAAATATTAATGTTGAGATGAATTTCGCAGAATTTTTCCAACGATATTTTATAAAACTACTATACCAATATGAAGTCTTACTATCTCAGTTATTTTTCTAACTGGCTATAAACCTTAGACTTTTTAGAGATAAACAGATAAAACTCAATTATTTTACGGTAACAAAAATGGTAACGATTCCTCAACTTTGCTATTACATTGTTGCAGGCGCAGGTGTTAAAAGGTGTTTAATTAAAAACGAATGTTTTTATAATTTAAAAGTTTATTTATTTCTTGATTTTTAGTGAATCTAAACAACATAGTATGATAATCACTAGATTTCAAACAAAGAATGAGTTATCTAAATC